GGAGATAGAAGTTAAACAGCCTCGTGGCAAAAGGTTTGCAAAATAAGCACTTGGTGTTTAGGTTCCTGTACAACTCTGCACAAGAAAAGGAAGATATGCATCATCTCACCATGAAAGAAATACACCAGCCTGCAGTTTAGTGCTCACTTTTACCCAATTAGGGTTAATGATGTCAAGGTGCTTCCCAACAACATGTGTGTTAAGCACAGATTCAGCAGTTGTTCAGCCGATTTTGGCATGTTACAGAATTTTAAGGTGGAAAGCATCAATCCATCATATTTCTGCTCATTTAGAAATTTATTAACATCCATTAAAACGGCAGTATTTTGGGGATTTCTTATATTTCTGGGACCCCCCCCCCAAAAAACAAAAATCCCCAAAGAAACGAACAAACAAGTATTACATAAAGTTTAAACATTATATTGGTTCCCAATTTTTATTCTTTCCTTCCAGATTTTAACTCTTAACCATTTAATTTACAAATGAAATGAAATGGTTGTGTAATAGTGATGTTTGTAGCTGAGGTGAAATGTTCCTTTAATGGTGAGAAATACATGTTTATATGTTAATGTGATGTGCAGCCAGAGGTGAATGGTGTGTACCCAGCGGAGGAGGAGCTGTGCGTAAAGAGAAACTGCATCACTGGAAAACAGAGCTGACGGTTAGACAGAGGCCTGAAGGTGCATGTGTCAGACTCGTGTACAGACACAGGCTCAGTGAAACATGAGCAAGCTTCCACATAGGAAAAGGACAATGTTGTCCAGTACAGCTGAGGAAGCAGAGCTGGTCTACAGTGTGCTGAACACGGCTGTTTTTCATGAGGACCGATCAGGTACAAATAGCTTGAACTTTTTCAAGTAACCATTTTTTTCTAGATATTTAACAAACATTAATTCAGAAGCTGCTTCACATGATCACAGTGTCGATATGCAGTTTCAACACTGACGAACTACAGAAAGTCGACGACATGAAGAATCTATTTGCTTCCACTGAGACTTTCTATTTGATCCATTTTGGAGAAAATACATGTATTTGACATGAGATTATTCTACCAGCCAACATGTCCACGGAGGCACCACCAGAGCTAAACGTGACCTGAAAGAGTTCATGATTCTGTATTACGTGGACCTAAGCCTGTGGTTTCTTGTGAGGCCGGTGCTTTAACTGAAGCCCATAACCTGCAGACTTGGATCAAGAAGGACCAACATATTTACCATATATGATACCATATTTACCACTTACACATATGATACCATGCCGTTTGCACTGCAACGTTCCTGAACCTTGCACGACCTATCCTAGAAGTCAATCCTCCTCAGCATGTTTCACAAGGTCCTGATGAACCGCCACCATTTACTCTGCGTCTGCCTGTACGTGGACATTTCTGCCCTAATAAATCTGTTTCAGTAGCTAACTCAGGTTTTTATGCAAGCCATCACAACCTTCAGCTGTATTTATCACGATTCTAGTTTTTCTACTACGTTTTGTTCTTTGTTTGTTTTGTTGACTTGAGGTCCCAAAGATGTATTTTATTCACAACATTGATTTTTCTTCATCACCTGCCAAAGGATGGGAGACCATGTCCCGCTGACAAAGAGAGGCCACCCTAACTACTCATGCCTCGCATGGCTATCGTTTGTAATAACAACCACACATAATTACCTTTGCTCTTTTTCTTCTTTTTCTAGCTTTCCTGCTCGTTTTAATCACCATGTTCGACACATTTAATCTTGAAAAGTCAGACCTTGTACTGGGCTACAGCATCTCATGAATAACACTGAATTACTTTATCTTAATTCATCTGATTACAAGCTTTTTATGTTTCATAGCTTGGCTCCATTTCCTTCTCAGAAACTTCTACCTGCATCTCTGAACTCAAAGCTCAGCTAGCAGCTTCTCTCAGTTGCTCCTTCATCTCAGGTCTCAGTCAATGAATTGTTAAACCACTTTAAATACACATCAAACATGGGGCCAAAAAATCCTGCCGGTGTTGAATCCTCGTTGCATTTGAGATTTTTATTTCAAGAAGATTAAAAGTCAAGAATTGGCAGCACTTATTACAGCTCGGTAATAAAGGGGTAATAGTAGGGTAACAAGAGTAATAATATGTAATTTCTAACTCATTACTATGCAATTACTGAAGTAATAACCACTTAATATGCAGGTAATATAATGGTAGCAACGGTAGTTACAGTTGAGTATTATTACCATGAAATTACCGTAATAGGATAATAAGAGCGCCAAAACTGGGGGTAATAATATGGAAATACAGCTCTGTAATAACATTGTAATAGCAGGGTGACAAGGAACAAACAAGAATGTCATAACGTGGTCATTTCCAAGTTATTCCCACTAAAAATAAAAGTTAAAAAAACTGGATAAAAAAGATAAAAGTCAGACAACTTCAGAGCTATGAGTCCTGGAAATGCCAGGACTGCTGCATTGATCACCTGATTAACGAGACCACATCTTCAGAACAAACCTCAACAGATAGTCAAGCCAGATGTACAACACAACTGAACCACAGAGACAAAGTCAGGTAAAAAGACCACGTGGAGACTGTTAGACACCTTAAA